ATACTGATTGAGGAATGTGCCATAGATTATTGTATGTAACGTTATACGTGTAAGAGGGTGATGTATTAGCTATGAACAGGCATAGTTCAATAAGCATAGTTTTTTATTACTATATGAGTCGATTAATCAATTATTTATATTTTAACCAAGGTTAATTTTTTTTATTTAATATAATTTCAACAATAAATTTTTGTACATAATAATAATAATATTGTTTACTAATAAATTTTTGTAATCTGTTTATTATTTTTACATTAGTTTATAAGATGTATCTACAAATCTTAAGTTTCAATGCTGTCTTCATTCCTAAAAAATAACACTATTTAATATATATTTAATAATTATTAGCATAATTATGGTATACGTACTCTAGTTTATAATGACCGTAAGCGTAGGTAGTAATACGGTCTTCTGATATAAACCGCTTATCATCTAAACGGTTTAATGTCATTTTCATAGTCTTAATGGTGTATATTTGATGTTGAAATGATCTGATTGACACATTTTCTCTGTATGGTGTATAAGTTGAGTACTTTACAACGGGGCAATAAGAGTCCACGGCTCTCTCATGAATGTTGTTTACAACCATCGTGCCATATGTAGCCGCTGTTGCATGAGCTTCGCTTACTGCAGGCTCCTCTTCAGCATACAAACACCGTTTCAGGTCCTCGACTGTAAGATGATTTTTCACAACGTGACCACGTATCCCTTTCGCCTTAATTTTTTCTTTACTCTCCAAGTCAAAACCATAACATTTTGGTCTTAGACTAATAAACTCCAATATAGATTTCCCCGGCGCTTCGTCACTCCACAAACCAGGCACCTTTTTGTTAGCGTTTGAATAACACGGGTGACTGCTCGGCAAACCTGAAGTGTCAAGTCTAGCCATTAGATCAGGATTTTTCTTTGCCAACGCGTAAAAATCATCACCCACGATAAAGTACACTAATGAATCTGAACAATAAAATCAAAAAATAAAATCATTTAATTTTTTTTCAATAAAAAATATTAATTAATCTACCTGTGTCACCGTATAATAGTCGAGCACGGTCTTTGAAATATTTCTTCATTACGTTATAATGGAAATCGTATACGAGAGTTTTACTAATTTCTAAAATTGCGAAACCTACGTATACTGGTTTACAAAAATCGATAATTTTCTTTTCCAATACAAACGCTGATAAATTTTCACTGTACGTTGTACAATGTTTGAAATTATGCTTTCTAATTAATTTAGCCGCTCGTTTAGGATTATTGACCAATTCCATTTGCGTTCTAAATTGTACACGTTCCATCATTTTACCTGTTAACAAACGAAATCGCATTAAAATTATGTTTATATATTTTTATTTAATTTTAAAACTTACCAAAAACAGCGTTGTTCATTAATTTAAAAAAGTCTTTTTCAAAATCATTTTTGGCTTTCTGTCTCATCTCCGTGTTGAGTTGTATATATTTTGATAGCCATGCCGACTGCTTAAATTGTAACACCTTATGCACCTGTAATTTAATGACATGTTATTATTATATTTTTAAAGTATAATTTTATGAATTACCTTTTCTACTTTTAATCCGTTCGCCATGGCCTGTTTTAAATTTAGATAATGTACAACGTAGTTTTCTTTCCGATCGAAAGTAGACAACAGTTTTTTGACCCGTGAATTAGGGGGACATTTTCGTTCAGGTAGAAATGGCATTTCGTTGTGGGCATCATGTAACTCTTTCGGGTACGACACCGTCACTTCAAGGGTCATTCCTATAGGAGAATCCGCAGGTAACTCTTCCACAGTCTTTAAAATTTTTGTTTCGTCGTCCACGTCTAACCACTTAAAGTCACCACATGACATATGTTGAGACATACTCCAACCATATAAATTATTGACATCCAAATAATAATTTCAGATTTTTTTTGTTTGATATCATATTGGGGCGTCTTTTCATTGTTGGCTGTGGCATGTTTCAACACCGAAGTTGTCATTCCTCCCCGTATTCCTCTCTCAATAAAGAGTTGCTGTTCATAATCACTCATGAGATCTAGTGAAACGCCCGTATGCAACAGCATAGCGTCAAAAGACAGACCGGGACTCGTAAAATAATATGCTGGTTCCAATTTAAATTTTAGTAGACATAACTTGCGAAAATTCGTAAAAACGTCCGCGAGTATTGTTACGTCAGTTTTCAGGTACAGATCAGAGTACTCACCGAGCGTTTTATAATTGAAATGTTGCCAGACGTTTTGTGCGTGTTTGTATTCGGCATCTTCTATATGCGTTTCTGACAGATCGTTATAAAAATCGGCTTTTGATGGCAATTGTTTTTCTTCGAGTACATCCCAGCTTGAGGTGTATGAATACGGGTACACGCCTTTACGGGTCACCAAATCGATGTCATCGTCCGATGAAAACGCTTTTGCGGTTTCTTCGAATAATTTTATGTCGGCGGCGCGCAAATTTTCAGCGAGAGCCGCTAAACTAGTACTCATAAAACGAAATGTATCGACGAACCTTAACGAAAATTTATTTGAAACAAACTTTGAAAAAGAAATATATTTTTCTTCTGTAGCGGGTATTACANTTTGAAACAAATTTTGAAAAAGAAATATATTTTTCTTCTGTAGCGGGTATTACACTTATTCTACTAGTATCTCTTCCAAGGGCTTTAACTAAAAAGTGTCCATCGTACGAGCTAAGATTATGGAAATATACGTTAACAAACTTGGGCGTTGTTAATTTTAAATTGCAACTGTTACAAAGCGTTTTTCTAAAACTACCTGAAACGAATATAAATATATATATATATACATTTTTCTTTTTATATTAATTACAATACATTTAACATAGTTATGTTTATGATTTACCTGTCAAATGATCATGGTCTGCTACTTTATGATTTTTCTCTGTAAAACTATCTTTACACAAGTCACAGCAGGTTTTCTTTATATGCTCTTCAGTTTCTTCGTGTGTCATACAAATATCAACATTCGTCTTGAGCAACTCTTTAATTTTCAACGCCACTTCAGTTACGTCATCCATGAAACGATTGACTATTTCCTCCGGCTCACTGCTTTTATTTCCTTTGTATATTTTAGGCGTCGTTTGAATATTATACTGTTGCAATAATTCTATGGGTACACTGTCGGCTGCTTTTACTATGTATCCATAGCTCATTGCAACATGTTCATGAACACAATTTGTGTTGCCTTTCATATCATTGTTGGACTTGACCAGCAGGCTTTCAAAATCTGCATAAATTGCAAATGGATGTTCCTGTGTTTTGCCCCATGACTCGAACTTTAATTTAGTACCTTCTTCAGGCATTACAGGTAAAAACGGTTTGTTTTCGCCACAAATTTTTTTATGTTCTTCTAGCGCCTCAACTCCACGTAGTTTATACTTTTTAGGTACATTATTAAAGCCTGTGAAACACCGTTTACAAAATATCCTTTTTGCCGTATTCTTTGTTATTTGTGATTGTACCAATCGACCAAAATCGGTAATATAAGTGTAATGGCTATTATAAAGGTTTCATCTTTACCCGTTTACATTTAATCGTATTGTCGGTGTTACATTGTTGGCGACGTTTAGGACTAATTGCACTAGGGCCCGCCTGCATTCTCTCCGCAACATTTACATTTTCTAAAAACAAATATTCATGTATTTATTTTAGCATATAAATTTCTAATAATATATATTTTCTTTACTTACCACTCGTTGACATAGCCCTCGAATCAGCATGATTTCCTATAGCAATATTATAGTCTATACCATACTTTACGAGATCTAAAATAATACACTTATATTAACACTCTACTAATATATTTTCTTTTTTCATATTATTATTTTACTAAATAATCAATTGTAATACTCACGATGAATTGTCTTAACATGACGCGAGAGTGCCCATTTGTCCGAAAAACTAGACGGGCATAAATAACACTTAAATCGTATACCATCATGACTCTTTTGATGACGTACCAGTCCATGTTTGAATGCAAACACTTTTTCACACTTGTCATAAGAAAACAATTTTCAGACGTTTAACTGACACAACACTATTAATTTTACTCAAGCGATAATCCGTCTTTTATGCGACAATATTCATTAAATGTAACAAAATCAATTATAAACTCTGCGAATCAAAAAACATATATCCCCGTAAACTAACCCATTCCTTCACCACTTAAACATTTTTAACTTATAATTACTGATTAATTACAATTTATTAAGTAATTTCTAAAAAGTATTCATTTTTTCATAGCCCCTCTTCTTATGTACCCCCCATACTTGTGATATCTACTGTCATGAGATAGTCCTCCACTCTTAAACTTTCATGGGAAGGGGGCCCTATGCCGATCATCATATCCCCCGGCCGTTTACACCGACCGTTCACCTTGGACAGGGTAAACCTACATCATGTGGGTGGATGAGGGGACTATACCTTTCACCATATCCCCCTCCCGGTTGTTTACACCGCCCGTCCACCTTTTTTTTTTTTTTTTCACGACCGGCCTGCATGCGGACCGCCCCGGAACTACCGTTAGGTATTACCTCAGGGCGGCCCACGCCGTCTCTAAAACTCACACCACCACGTTGTGAATCAGCCCGAAATTAATCAAGAGCTGATTCACAACGTGGTGTGGCCTCCCCCGTTAGCCGGATCCCAAAAGTCGGGATCCGTTGCCCGGGTTGCACCACGTGGAGGTGGGGGCAGGACTTTGCGAAGGGGGCATAAAATAACTCACAAACACATAAACATAAACACACGAATACCTAAGGCGCCGGCCTAAACCAGCGCCTTAGGTCCTCCTGCACCGGGCGGCGCGGCTGCCGCTGCCTCAGGCGTTCGGCTTCCTCCTTCCTTTTCAGGACGGATTCGGCAAACGCCTGGACGAGCCTCCACGCCTCCCGGCTTCCCAACATCAGGTCCACCAAGGACCCAACGCGGATCGTGGACTCCAGACGGGACTCCAGCGAGTCCCGCTCCTGGGCCCACGCCTCGCACTNCCAGCGAGTCCCGTTCCTGGGCCCACGCCTCGCACCGGAAGAGGGTGTGCAGAGCGTTGTCTGCCTCTCCCGGGCGATCCTGGCAGTGGTCGCACGTCGGCGCGGCTGCCCTCCGAATACCGTGAAGGTATTCGTTGAAGCAGCCGTGGCCGGACAACACTTGCGTGAGACGGTAAGACATCTCACCGTGTGTCCGGGCCACCCACCTCTCCAGGCGGTCGGGTCCTATGAGGGACCTGGTCCACTCGCCTCTCTTCGTTTCCTCCGAGAGGCGAGCCCGCCACCGGAGCATGGTGGTCCGCCGGAGCGCCAACCGGTCCTCGGGTTCGAGGGGTCGGTCGCGCTCTCGGCGGAGCTCATGTCCGGCGGCCCGTTCCGCGGCTAGCAGGTCGGCGGGCGGCAGTGACGACAGTATTCCCGCCGCCACTCCGGAGACCGTTCGGTAAGCCGACACGGTCCGGATCGCCGCCCGCCTCTGCACCCGGAGCAGGGCTTCGCGGTTCCTGGCCGAATACTCGAGGGTATCCGCCCAGACCGGGGACCCGTACAGGAGGACCGAGTGAACGACGCTGACGAGGAGTCTGCGCCGCATCTCCCTCGGTCCTCCCAGATTGGGCATGAGCCCCGCCAGGCTGTCCATGACTTTCTGGCCCTGTTGGGCCGCACGGGTGATGTGCGGCCCGAACATTAGACGTCTGTCGAAGACCAGGCCCAGATACGTCATGGAATCCCTGAGCGGGACGTCCACCCCCAGCACGGTGAGCCGCGGAGGAGCGAACTTGTACCTGCCCGTGAACAGGACCGCTTCGGTCTTGTCCAGGGCGAGGCTCAGTCCGCTCCCCTCCTGCTGGATCCAGGCGGTGACTGCGCTAAGAGCGCAGTTCGCCCGGGATCCAGCTTCCTCGGACGAGGCGCCTTCCGCCACCACCAGCGTGTCGTCCGCATAGCAGACGATGCGCACGCCCGGTGGTAGCGGAAGGCGGAACACCGCGTCGTACGCGATGTTCCACAGCAGAGGCCCGAGAACCGACCCTTGCGGGACGCCTCCCGTCACAGGTCTGGTTCTCGGGCCCGCGGCGCTCTCGTATGTGATGACCCGGTCGCCGAAGTACGACCGGATCATCCGCCCGAGGTACGGAGGCACCCGAAACGCGTCCAGCGCTCCGAGGATGTGTGACCATCGCACGGAGTTGAACGCGTTCCGGATGTCCAGGCTCACCGCCACCCCGAAGCCCTGTCCGTTCTCGGCCCTGAGGGCCAGGTCCCTAAAGAGGGAGGCCGCGTCGTCCATCGACCACCCCCTCCTAAAACCGAACTGACCCTCGGCCAGCCCCCCCACCGAGGCCAGGTGGGCTTCGATCCGGGTGACGAGCAGCCGCTCGAAGATATTCCCCAAGTCGTCCAACATGCACAGCGGTCGGTATGACGAGGGGAGACCCTCGGGCTTGTCACCCTTCCTCAGAAGCACCAGCCTGGCCTTCTTCCACCTCGTGGGGAATTCACCCTCCGCGAGGCAGCGGTTAGCGACGGCGCGTATCCATTCCAGGGCGAGATCGTGGACCAACCCCCACACCAGGGAATCGCGTCGGGGCCCCGCCCGTCCACCTAGGACAGGGTAAACCCACATCATGTGGGTGGGGGGACTATGACTTTCACCATATCCCAACAGCCGTTTACACCGCCCGTCCACCTAAGACAGGGTAAACCCACAACATGTGGGTTAGGGGGGGGGGGGTCCCAGCTCATACTTTACACCCCTACTTATGTTAAATGGATAATTAAATTTTTGTATTCACCATTGCACCAATAAGAGGATTGAAAGTTGTTATTTTTTGTTTTTATCTAACACAAATTTAAGCTCCTATGTTGTATGCGAGTCAGACAATAACAGAAATTAATCGCTTCCAATCTCCTTAACAAAATAAATAAAATTATTCTTTTTAATCTATGTATATACTCAGAAAAAAAAGATAAAACTAATGCTTTGAGTAAAAAACGGTTTTCATTTATTTCAAGTTGTCTTGCAGAATATAATTGATGTGCTATAGATAAGTCATTATTTTCTGAACTAATCTATAGTCTATCCAACGTTGCATAGAAATAACATGTCTGTTAATTCTTTGATGGCGATCCAATGGTGATTTGATTTCTTTCCATTTTTTGCAATTATTTCCATTATTTACAAAACTGTAATTACTATAGATTTCACCTGGTGATGAAATATTAGCCCCAAAATGCCGACATACAAAACAAACCAATGAAATTAATTATTAATAACAATAAAAGCTGTATAGTAATTTTATTTATTTCAATTTTTAAACTTACGTTTGATAAAGCAATTAATTTAATAAAAAAATTTATTTTACCCTGTTTAGAATCATTTCCTATATATTTGAGTTGTGCTATTTTTTTGTCTCGCAATTTTTGCGCTCCACTTTTCCTTTTATTTAAACTGTTACTCGTTGACATTTTTTATTTTTGTTCTTCAATTTTAAACTTAAGTAGTCAAACTTCAAAACATTTATATTTGTTATTTGATAATAGTTTGTTATAAATAAAGTTATTTATATCCATGATTGTACAACAACATCGAAAAAGCAAAAAACTTTTACAACTACATAATTTAATCTTTCGACGGTTACGCTTTTTTTATCATAAAAACAATGTGATAGCAGTATGATGGTAGAATTAAAATTCGTGACAAATACATCATCAATATATCATTCATATTGCATATTAGCATTATTCATTTTATATTCTTCTAATGTTTCTGAGTTTCTTAAAAATGTAACCATCTACTGTTATGTGTCCTGGACAAGTGGCCCTCTATGAGCGAAGCTGCTATTTCAGCGGCCTCGCGTACCGAAAATTTGACTGGCCCATATAAATCAAGGATGGGGCGAATGCCCTCGTCTGCCCCCCCCCCCCAAATGACGCTACTGTATAAAACATATGTATACACATACTCTATTTCATAAATTTGTATACAAATATTTAGAAATCGAGAGTTCAAAATTAATTATTATGATATTAAAGTGAAATTACTTAAGTGATGAAGGAAAGGGTTAGTATACGGGGATATATGTCCTATGATTTGCTGACTCCCCCTATGAAAAATGCGATTTTTCCGCATAAATGAGCATAAAATCGTTGATAAGGTCACAGTGTTATCAAGAACCATCAGCTCTAAAAAGAAGACTCTACTCTATGAATAATATGGCTGCCGAACCTGTAAGAAAACAGCGCTACATTTATATCGCACCAACGCCGCCGCCGAGATGATTAACTCTAGCAGTTACACTATTGCGTTCAGCGACAGAAAATTTTTGCAAGTGGGCCTGAATCCAAAGGATGACTTCAATGTTACGGTATGCATTATTACTCCTTCACGATATATTAGTATGTCAGCGGACTATTTAAATATTATTTACGGCATGATGGATGAAATATCATTATTTCTACAATCACCTCCGGTAAAAGGAGAGAACATTGTGTTATACCAAAATATCGATTTTAATATAATCAAAGTATTGTACCGTGATACCATACATTTAGTAGTAGAATCCAGGATGGTCGATGGGTGTCGAGTGTTATTGAATAACGAAAACATTAATAGACTTATGGACTTAGTGTATTATTAACAGTACAATATCAAGAAAAATAAAAACACGTTTACAATTATGTCATCAAATACACCACATCATACAATACGTCGACGGTAAATGGTCAAGCCCTAAATTTCAACATTCTAAAAATGATGAAATGGTTAATTTTATAAGAAGTTTAAACGATAAAGAAATATGCGATACTTTTCCTAAAGGCGACAATAATTACATAAGCGAGTTGAAGAATTTAGCATATAATAAAATATAGTCGATCGTTGGGTTAAGTCATGGTCCGAGGGTACGCTTCAAATTAATGTGAGTTTAATGAAAATAGATTACCATAACTTTTATTATCATTAAATTTATAATTATATTTTAGGAAAAAGAAGAAATGTATGACGAAAATGACGGTCCGGCATTTTTCGATACAACAGTGTTTATCCGAGAAAATAGTTATAGTCCATGGGCGTCACAATGGACGAAACCCAATCACGTCAGAAAATTAACCTACATTAATAATTTATGAACAA